AAACACACAGATCAAGAAAAAGGAAATGAAATGATCTTAAGACAAAACATCAAAGCCAAAAGTGAAAGAAGATGAAATTACCGATAGGAAGAAAACGGCAGATTGATGAGCGGGGAAAAGGGTTGGGAAAGGCGGGATCTTTTGAGCGGGAGAGATGAAGAAGCAATGGAGGAACCGGAGAGAGAGCGGAGAAGGTGGTGGTGTTGGTCTCCTCCGGGTGAGGTGGTGGTGAACAGGAAAGCCCAAACATTTATGCGTTTTAAATCAATCTTTTCTCACTTTGTACAGTGTTTTCTTCTTCTCTCTTTTTTTTTTTTTTTCATTTTTTCTTCTTTTTGACCGTTCAAACTTCAAACTCCCCCATACCGTCCCACTGCCCTCACTTTCACACACTCACTTTCAAACCAACTTTTTTCTTTTTTCTTTTTTTTCCCATTGGTTTTTTTTTAAACATGTGCACAAATGGTAATAAATATATATTTTATTATAAATTTATATTTAAAACATAAAAATTTATATTTAATTTATTAATTATATAATTAAATTTATTTATAAATTAATATATTGAAATTAATGTTAACTTTTATATTTTTTTATATAAATTTATCATAATAATGTGCTTTTAAGAGTAAACAGCAAAGACAAAATTTATATGTTAGATAATAAATTATATAAGAGTAAATGAGAAAATATTCATTTACATATTAATTTTTATATATTATATTTTTATAAAGTTTTAATAATTTATCTTTTTATTTTTAATTATGAAAAATTATTTATATTTATTAAATATCATAATATATAGTTGCTTTTTTCTCTTATTCTACTCCTAAATCCTTTGAAAATTCAAACTGCCTAATCATTTGAAAATTCGAACTCAAGACTTACAAGGAGCTCATATCCTAAGGCAAGCATATCCTTAGTGATGTATTTCGTTCCTTTCATTCATAAAATGAATATAATACCTAAAATAAAAATTAGTTTCTCACTAAAAATCTGAAAATTAAGAAAACTACTAAAAATACATGCAACAGATTGATGTCACTAATAGAAATAATAATGGTACTTTCTTTTTAACATCATAATAATAATAATAATAGGGTTTTTTAAGGATATATTTTTTTATTGTAAATGTATATAAAAAATGTAAAAATTAACCATTAATTTTAGTATAATTGTTAGACGAACAAATTCAATTAGACGATTGATAAATTAAATGTCAATTTTTATTTTCTTAACACAAATTAATGATAAAAAAAAGTATATTTTTTACATTTTCAAAAAGTACAAATTAAAAAATCTCATAATAATAATAATAATAATAATAATAATGGTAGTTAGAAAGAAAGTTAGGTTAGTCAATACACTTTATGACCAAATTGTTAGTATTATTATTAATC